GCAAAAACGATTGGCGTTTCGATTCCATATTCTTAACAGTGTCAATCAGGACCGTTCAAGGATTCATTTTTTTTCCTGTAGAAACAACTAAATCCTGAAGAAAGCGTGTAGCGACGGAATTTCAAGATCTTGGCAAGATTCGAAACAGAGTTTAATGAGGATCCTGTCACGAAACTCCTGTTATATCATGCACAAAATGTGATGATCTAAGATGAATAAAAGAGATTGTGTTGTTTCTTCTAATCTAATTGGCTTAGGACATCTTGCTCGATAACGGAAATGTGTGGTTCAATTCCTACGAAGAGCACATCTTTTCTGTTCTGTTGCTGCAATATCTCCTCCTTTCGACCGATTATCTAACTATTACTAATTTCTGAAGAAAGCGTGTAGCGACAAAAAAATCAGAATCCTGGCAGGATTTGAAACAGGATTGAATCAGGATCCTGAACAGATTATCGATGTTTTTCAATTCAGAATATTTCAGGATACCAGCAGTACCTGAAAGAAAGGTGTAGCCATGGTATTCAAAATTCTCACTGGATTCGAAACAGGGTTTAATGAGAATCTTCAATAGATTACCATTATTTCTCAATAAAGAATCAGTCAGGATACATTTAGTTCCTGAAAAAGTGTCACGTTGCGAAATTTCAAGATCTCTGACAGGATTCGTCGTAGAATTCAATCTGGATCTTTAGCGAACTACGCCTTTTTTTGAACCGAAAATCTTTTACGAAAAACTGTGATTGTGGATGTGTATATGGGTTCATCTTATATTAACTAACAGTCAGAACCACTAATACAGCCTCCTGTTGGATTCTTGTTAAGATTCTCGTATCTTAAGCAACAACAATTGGGTGAATCTTTGTATTAGGGTCCAGATGCGGTTCTGTCTAAAAATTGCTGAAGTTTTGAGAGAATCTCCTCTGTTATTCTCGTAAAGATAATTTGTCATTATAATATGAAATGTGTTGAGTTTCAGCAAATGATTACAAATAATTTTTTTTCCAACTCATCTCTAACAATCTAAAAACCAGAGTTCACTTTCAACCGACTCAAATTGGACATCCATTTTAATACATCAGGTAAACTTCATCGATTACCGTTTAACAATAGCTCCAAGCAGATTATTGTAAGAATAGGTGAAATTACAAATTCGTGAGGACAACTATAGAAAATGCGTGACGAAAAATATTGAAAATTTGGTGTGCGTTCGAATAGACGAGCCGCGCTGAAATAAAATTGATCAAGACCCAAAATAGTCAGATGTGTGATGTTTGATGATGTTGTGATTGGCTCTATAAAAGTGCCAAACCATTTTGAGGTGAATAAGTATCGTTAAAATAATAACAAGTGAGCTTCGATAGACGCCATATACAATTTATAACAAGGAAGCACTGTTGATAAATCACCCAGCCAATCATCTGTCAAAAAACAATATTTAAGAGTCAAGTGAGTGAGATTGATTAACTGAGGTAATACCAGCATGAATTGGCTCAATAACTGTTTGCATCAAAAATATCCTAATGAAAATGATTTCGATCCAACAAATCAGTCAAGTGTGAAACCGTGACTTCACAAGGAACATTCTTCTCTGATAGATACAAGGAAGATATTTTACTGATCACAGTCGAAAAATATCACCAACAGATTATAACAAAATCATAAGAGTCGATCGATCGAAAATCGATACTATTAACGGTGAAAGAATGAAAAGAAGAGAATTAAATTGAGAATTGAGCCTGTGAAATGCGTGAACAAGATGAACGGTACGAAGGTACTCGAATATATGAAGTAATTATTCATTAGTCAATGATTCGAAATTCATTAGTTATGCATTTCTTAAGTACTCGTTAGAGAAAGTGAATCACCAATATTGTTGATATATCAAAGATCTGAAAGAAAATTCAATTTTCGATCATCATATCATGTTCTGAATTAATGTATAGACAATGCAAAAGATAGTTAATGAATTTGTTTCTAGCATAATTTTTTTCTCAGTTGTATAGGTTATTGAAGTAATATCCAATGATGAAATAAAATATATCTGTGAAAATTGAACCTTTTTCTAATGATAATATCCTTTTGTTCGTCTGTCCTGAAATTAATCAAATACACGATGTTGCTTCGTATATGTATCGAATATTTATCAAAACACAAAAATTTTGATTAAAATTTAGTTGAAACGCCTCTTTCATGATATTTTCAATGCAATCTAATCGATACAAAAACATCTTCTTCGCAATCAGTTTGTCGATAAACGAACAAAAGATAATGTAAGTCATACTTACAAACAAGGTATTGCTTAACAAAGCTAAGTAATTTTATAACTTCAACTATAAGAAAAGAAGAGAATGTGATAATATTATGAACAAGTTGTTCTATTGATTCGATTGATTATCTCAAATTTCATTTTTCCCCATAAGAGTAAAAAAGAACATTTTATTATTTGTTATTGTTAACATATTTCAAGGATAAAAATAGACAACACTATGATGAAGGTGGGTAAGTTTCTATTGATTACATCATAAATGCAACTTTGTCTAGACATAAGAAGAGATTTGGTCAATTTACATTAAAAATTGTAAAAATTTTACTTATTCTGGAACTATACAATCTGTCAAATTTGCTTTCTTCATCTAGCAGATAAATAAAGATTAATTACAAAAAAAATAAATAAATACTGAGAAATACTTTTCAAATGCACGAAACGTATAGGGAAATTTTCGGGAACAACCTGTAAAGATAATTTTATTATTGATTATGCTTTTGTATAGATATAAGTAGAATAATGAACAATGCATAATACTAAAACTGAGTGACCGAGTTTTGCCCGCTTCGCTCGTAATCAATTGAAATCTGGTAGAGTCAACTAATAGATTGGATCACCGGATTCATATTGACACGTTCTTACCATTGTTTCAAGTTTTCGAATCGGAAATCAAGTCTAATTCTTGATTTCAGTAGTGATTGAAGTAAATGATAAAATTGTTGTCTAACGTATAAGATTGTCGTACTAAATTCTTCTATGTATGTTGGAGATGATAATATAAACACAATAATTGTGACAAAGTTGTTGCTGCAATTCAAAATAAGTTACCGATGAGAAGGAATGTTGAATTACGCACAGGTTTCATACGTGCACTAATGTAGAGAATAATAAGACGTGGTAGACTGAAAAGTACAAATAGACATAATGTCAATAAGAGATGATTTTTATGTATGATTTGTTGACATAAATATCGATTGGATGAAATATTTGATTCAGTGTTGAAACGCGTGTGAGCTACTAACATGATTATGACGATACTCAACAATAAATTAATTGATAAAGGAGCAACAAAATTAAAAAAAAGTTGATAACAAAGTCGTAAATATCGAACAAGACATCAAGTTCGTTATTTGTCTGCATCAAAAATCGTCGATAATTTGATGATGACGAGAATCACGAACTTGTACGCAAAAGATAAACAGTATAATAAGCATCGGTTCAAAGGTCACGCATGCATTAAATCATTTACTAGTTATTTAATTTATTGGATTTTCATAAGAATCATATAACGCAATATGTAAAGACGTTTGTATAAAGTAAAGTTGAACAATATAATCAAACGTTGACATCATTCAAAATACTAAAGATTAGTTATGATCTGACGAGGGAACATATCCAAGTGATAAATTCCTTTAGAGCTTCAATTTTGTGAAACACAAGTAATTGACCATTCTTAACCCGAATATCTGAGTCTAGAAGTTCTGAAAAATCAGTTCGCTACATCGAAAACCTTTTTTATATGTCTAGATTGTAGGATTTATCAAATCATATATTAAAAAGCTGTTTTTCACTAATTTCGGATGATTAGGTATGACTATAAATTATAATCCCTACTTTTGCTATATCTTCTGTATAAGCAAATAGGTTGATATAGCTACAGCTTTGCAAGTAATATTATTAGTATGAAAATTATGTTGCAATTATTTGGTCATAAGCTGCGTATGACTTCAATATCCTGACTTTCAGAAGGTGATATGGCTGATGACAAATCTTCTTCTTGAGATAGAAGTATTCGTGTTATCTGATAAATGAACGACATCCATTGTGCACTAATTTTTTTTGGCTTTTTATTAATTCGATAGCCATGTGTATTGAAAAAACACGAAGTGAAAATTGACAAAATAAACGTATATACAGATATGAAGCCTCATTGGTATAGATAATAAGAGAATGACAAGTTTTTGACATTTAAAAGCTTCGCATGTTATAGCGAGTTCTATCAATGTTCCTAAATAGCGAAAAACAGACTTTCACACACAATTCGCTTTTCACTATAATCTGAATAAATCAAAAAAATATTTTGACAAAAAATTTCTTGATACAGTAAACCGATTTTCGGCAACCTCAGTTCCTATGGAGACCTAGCAGCATGATCGATTACCTATCATTAACAAAGCTTCGATTCAAAAGTAATATATTACCTGGACGTGTTTCCTTGTTCCTTTTCCATAATTTATCAAGCTACATATTTTTATACAGAATATTCTTTTTTTTGCATGTCTTTTCAACATAAAATCGCGTGGATTTTTTTAATTGGTAATTTTCTTAAAAACAATCTTAGCTAATGGATCTGTGTTGTGTAAAAAGATTTGAGTAAATTTGATTAATATGAAAAGAACTTAAACAACGTCATTGATCTCCCATTTTTTGATACATCATTGATAGACCAATAGGGAACAAGTTTATGAATGAGTCATTATCATTGATAAAATCGACAAATAAACAAATGAGCATAGACATTAGTGCCATTGTTTTGGAAGAAAATAGTTATTTGAAACTTTTTGATATAAATTGATTTCTACATGTCATATAAATTCTAAGATTAAACTACATTGCTGTGTATATTCACTTGAGATGTAAAAAATAAACAATATGGCTGTTGTCATTGGCTTACTCTTTTTTTTTTTGAAATTTATGTTTTCTTTCTTTCTTTCTTTTTTTTTTATTAGATATGTCGACAAATGATTCAAAATTATTTTCATCAATTAAATATTTTACAACTGGTTTTCGTGATCCAACACTTGAAAGTATATTTAAACAAAATGGTGCTATAAGATCATTTTATTTAACTGAAACAACCACACATGTCATATGTGATGATTTTGACAGTAATAAAAGTGAATTAGAACAAGCTATTGAAATATATCAAACACCAATTGTTAATTCAAATTGGATAACATCATGTTTAAAATGTAATACATTATTACCAATTGATCCATTTCGTAGTGTTGATAGTAATAATACTGAACATTTATTTCGTTCATGTACATTTTCGAATGCTAATTTATTAAATGAAGATCATAATAAAATATATGCATTAGTTACTTATTATGGAGGTCGATGGACAACAAATTTAGATGATCCTAATTGTACACATATTATTTGTGCATCAGCATTATCAATAAATAATACTGATGATGAAATAATAAATAATCATCGAAATAATGATGAACGTCTTCAGATTGCATATGAAATTCAATCTGAAAAAATTCATTTAATAACACCAGATTGGATTATTGATTGTTTAAATACTAATCGTTTACTAGATGAAGCTGATTATCATCCTGATTTATTAAGAGATCCAAATGAACCAATGGATGTTGATGATGAAGAATTAGATGATGAACATCACAATAATCAATCAACAGATGAACATACGCCAACAAAAACAATTACTAGTGCACATCGTTCACAACTTATAACAAAAAATTTTTTTAATCAATCTGATCAAACAACACCTCCACCATCAGCCGAGCCAGTATCAGGAATACATGATGGTAGTAATCCTCCAGATTCATCTGTAAGAAGAAAACTGTTTTATAGTTTAGCTAAAAAATATATGTTAAAACGATCAGACTTTTTGATATGTTCGATTTCATTTCTAGAGAACAAGTTTTAGTTCGAAATTTCATTTATTCGTTCATGACAGAAAAAAAGATGTCTTTTAATATTAGTCATAAACTTTGCAAAAGCCACTTGTTATCAAGGTCAGCTTATTCAAATTTTATTATCTTTTGACTGATACTGATATTTACAAATATTTATATTCCATGGAATATCAGAGGATTAGTATCGTTTTAAAAAGTACTCGATTGAGGCAAGTAACACGCCTGTTTATTCTAACTTATCTTATATTTACAATAAGACTATTTAACATTTATTTTGCAAAACACCATCTAAAACGAATAATAAAGTATAGAGATAAAAATTTGAACTCTACAAATGTAATCATGGAAATATTATAGATCTTGACGGACACCTTAGCAATTCTCGACGCGTCGCAGACTATATAGCAATAACATATAAGTATATAGAATAAAATTAGTAATAGCAACTATGTCGTCTTTCACATTTTAATCTCTCGGAGATTATGCAACTGCGATTTCACTTTTAACATATTGTTTAAAAACTTTTTTCTTCGTTCACTTCGTGTTAAGAAATTAGCCTAATAGATATGAAAAACTGTTTTTTAATACTTGTCCAAATATATCATTCTTATGTCATAATTAAAACATGTCTAATTAATAATCATAAAAATATTGAATAAAAAATATAGTAAAAATCTCTCTTCAATGAACACTAATATGACTTTTAAAAACTATTCGTCTACGGAAGATGTCATATATATAGAGACTACGATCCATTACAATTAACTTTACAGTAATAGACAACAACTGTTAACAAATAGAAGTGATGACTCATCTCATCAGTTCGTAACACTTGTCTTATCGTTATTTCTTTATATCATTGGTTGTTCTTATTCGCTTAGTTATAAAAGAAATGAAGATAGATTTGTAAACTGAATGTTCATTAGCAATGGTGTTGAACATGACTATTATCAGATGAGATAAGCAGAAAAAGAAGTATACTTTCTCGTAAATGTTTGAATAGTTGTTTAACGATGATTTTTCGTCAAAGAAATCTATGCATAACATAAAAAATGCGAAGAATTATGGACAAGGCTACAAAAACAAAAAAGATAACAGTACATCATTTTCGTCAAATACAAATATTGAGAACAACACTTCTGAAGTTAATGATTCAAGTACTTGATAAACATTAAAGATTTTACTTTGCAGTATAAATCGATTGTCATCTATATGAAATAGATCAATTTAAAAAATTTATGTCAAATATATTTCTTTCAACCTTTTGATAAATCCAGTTAGATGATTGTCGTATTAATCTCGATCTATATGAATTTGATGAACATTGCTATACAATTCATCAATTTTATTAGGTTAATATTTTTGATCATCATTTAAATATTCTTTTTTTTTTGTTTTTAAATATGAAATACAAAATCAAGTAAAACGTTCGATTTTTCCGTTAACTCATGTTGTAATGAGCTATTACCGTTGTGTATTAATCGAATTTTTTCTTTTAGTATAAGATGGTGTTGTGATACCATTATTTTCCTTGACATGTACAATTATAGCATTGAAATAGTGAAGAAACAAGTGCACATATGTTTATTTAAAAGAGGTTAAAATAGCATTCGGGACTGTAACAGTAATGTTCAACTTCAGCATAGGAAAGTATTCACTAATAGAGGTTTCACTTAGTGTCTTAGAGGCGGATCGAGTATTATACAGGAAAAAAATGTCGGTTCGATTTCCGAGTATGATCTCATATCCGAAATCGATCCGGCAATTAATGAGATTTCAACCTTTGCGAGTAGTTTTACGTTCTCAAACTCTTAATTTATTTGAAGTCATAGCAGTGAAAATCGGTTCGATCATGATTGAGCGATTTATTTTCACAGAAGTAGAAAATGAGATTATTTTATTATAAAAATTCGTTTCTAATGAAAATTCAGCTACAGATGATGATAAACCATCATATGACGAAATAACTGAATACATGAAGAGAAAACAAAATTATCAAAAACATGAACATGTATTAATGTGACGGAAGAAGCATTCATGTATTTATCCGTAATAATGACGTTTAATACCAATTCTGCATTCCATTTGAGCTTTATCAGCAATAAGCAAACATATATTTAGAGAAATTGACCCAATTATTGAAGAAGAAACACATCAAGTGAAACTTGAATCACTTGCTTTGAGATGATTTCTCTACTTTTTTTGTTACTATTTATAGAAGAAACTGAATAGTATAATTTTACATATAAGATTAAATTATAAAAACCATACTGTAATTGTGAAAGTATCTGTCGGACATAGATATTGAAGGTTTTAAATTTCATAAATTTTTTTTTGTTGTTGTCAGGATACTTCTCAAACAAAAGTCTTTGCACCAAAACGAGCTCGTACTAGAACAACACCACGACAGCGTAATACAAAAATTAATTCAACAACAAATAATAGTTCACATACAAATCAAAATGGTCATCCCTTAACAAGTAAAGATGGAAATATTTCAACATTACCTATTGAAGAAAAATTAATTCGTCCATCAATATCAGCTAATCTACCAAATAATAAAACAAATTTACAATTATCACGTCATCCACCATTAGAAACACTTTCATATGAATTAAATTATTGTCTACAAGATAAACATGAACTTGTACCAGCATCACAATGTTTACTCGGTTGTGTTATTTATATTGATGAACGTGAATATATTTCAATTGTATCAAAAGATGATTTATCAACATGGTCAAAAACAATAACAGATCATGGTGCTATAGTAACTGATGATATTAACCTTGTTAATTTAACACATTTTGTATGTGCTTATCGTACAAGTGAACGTTTTCGACAAGTATGTAAACGTGGAACTGTTCGAATGGTTACAGCGCATTGGCTTAGTGATGTATTACAACGAAAAAAACTTTTTGTGCCAAATTTAGCTATTCATTATCCATCACCATTCGAACCGAATGAACCAGACAAATTACCATTAGCTAAATATTTTTTTACAATGACTGGTTTCGAAGGTAAAAATAAGTTATAGCGAAATTTAAGTTTTATAAATAATAAAATAGAGCATCTTTTTATCTTGAGAGTATGAAATTTCTCATATCAACGATGATCTATATGAAAAAAAATCTTTTGTTAATATATTTTATAGAGGAAAAATAAACAAAATCTTTAACGCTTATCAGAATTAGGATGATTTTGATCTTTTTCTTTTGTATTTCAGAAATTATTTAAAACAATTTTATTACATTAGAACAGAAAAGTTTTGTATTCAAAACATTAGAAATATTTTCAAATGTGTACTTATACATGACTTTGCATGTATATATACGTTTAACGTTAGTGGAATTAGTGGAAGTTATTTTCCAAATATATTGAAAACGAGCGAGTGAAACAATAGCCATACATTAATTTTGTTGTTGATATGGTATTTCAATGCAATTTCGTAGAGACTTGATCTTTTTTGTTAGAAAGAGAAACGTGTCAGTGCAAAAATGTATAAAAGAATTCGATCAAAAATGTGGGTGTGAGTGTAGCTATGGGCGTCTACGTGTGGTTTTCTTTTATTTTAATCCACATGTCCACCTACACCGCACTCCCATCCACATCCACACTCAAAATTAATGCAAAACTTTTTCTCTATCGAATACTTATCGTTGAACAAATAAGCATTAAAAGCTCAATCTTTTGTTTTCTTAAAAACCTTTTATTCATTTATCCATGCTTCATTAGTTTCTTTCTTTTTATCTAGGAATTGAGCGTGCTCGTCTTCGGTATATGATACGTTCACTAGGAGGTAAATATTCTGGTCATTTAAGTAAATGGCATACACATTTATTAGCACGTGAAAATGGAAAAACAAATAAATTTAAAAAAGCTTTCGAGTGGTCAATACCTATTGTAAATGGTTTATGGTTATCAGAATTATATTTAGGGAATACATGTGCTCTTAAACAACCAATAGAAGAACGTTATAAGCGTTTAAATGGTACACCACCAATAGATCATTTTTCATTTGATCAAATTTTTGTTCACGATTTACTTCTACCATGGTCACAACCTATTCGTATAACCGATGAAATGCTTAATTTATCTATACGTCGTCATAATGAACAACAACATTTATTATCACACCTTCCAGATATGGATACAGATAATCATTATATTAAAAACTCATATCATTATAATGAACCTATACATTCAACAAATCAGTCAACAATAAATAATAATGAAACAATATCAATAATGCTTAGTGGTTTTAATATGAAAACATTAAATTATTATGAAACCATAATTAAATCTTTAGGTGGTAAAATATCGACATTACCACATAATACAACACATTTAATAATGAATAGATTTTTACGTACAGAAAAATTGTATGAATGTATAAATTATGTAACATATATATTAAATAAAAATTGGTTAGATAAATCTTATGAAGAGAAACGTTTTTTATCAATAGAAGAATCAGATTGGATACATGATCAAGAATTTAAATCAATAGAAAATTTCTTTAAACAATCAATAGGTAGACGTATACATCGTCAAAATCGACCATTATTTATAGGTTATACATTTTTTTTAACACCAAGTATACAACCATCACAAATAATAATTAAATCAATTATTTATTCAGCTGGAGGACATGTACGTCGAGAATTTCCAACAATAAAACGCTTAATAACATATAATGAACAAACTAAATTACCAAATTGTTTAATTTTATCATGTGATCAAGATAAATTATTGTTAAAAGATTTACATACATATAATAATACAGATTTTCAAATTAAAATTTTATCAATTGATTTTCTTCTTCAAAGTATTTTACACCAAGAAATACTTAGTTTTGATTCATTTATTATCAAAATATAATTTTTACTGTGTCATGTGTACAATAGCGCAAACCATTCGATTTTTCTTTTCTTCTAGTTTTTTTTTTCTTTTTCCTTGTGATATAATCACGTATTATATGTCTGATGTTTATGTTCTATATGAATGTTGATTGTGTATGTATATATATACATAAAAAAAGGATAAGATTTCGTTGTATGTTTGTTTAACAAAAGAATTTTTCTTTTCAGATGTTCGGCTTTCCTATAGATCTATTCGGTATTCCAAACAGTACAGATCGTCGAATGAATAGTAATTCATTAGTACCACATCATCAATCATTATTTGGAAATTCATTAATGATGCCATCGCTATATGGCAATATGAATAGTTTAATGGGTAATTTTGGATTGAATTCATCGCCGTTTCCAATCATGGATAGAATGATGCAGGGAGCAAATCAAAACCCAAATGGATCAGTACATTCATTTTCATCAACAACGGTCATGTCTTATAATGGTACAGATGGAAGACCGAAAGTTTATCAACAATCAACATCATGTAATCGAGGACCTGGAGGAATTGAAGAAACGCGACATGCTGTTCGGGATACTGAACGTGGAATTAAGAAAGTAAATAGGTTTAGGAAAAAAAATTAATATCGAACAGTTAATCTTTTCGAATTAGCTTAAATGATTAAACAATGATTGAATTCTTTTGAACGAAATCGTCTTACTATGTAATATCTATAGGAAAAATTATTGACATCGGAAGGAAAAGAATGTAAAGAGCATCCTTTGTTAATCATCTTAGAATCTGAAGCCTAAGAAATGTTTTCATTAGATTTTTCTTCTTGTCAAGCAGTGATTGAGAATAATATTTAATAATTGAAATTATTTATAGGTGCAAATTGGTCATCGAATTGGTGATCGTAAACATGTAGTAGAACGAGAAATGAATACACAAACTGGTCAGCTATCTGAAAATGTTGAACTTGAAAATCTTGATGAAGATGAAACGGATGATTTTAAACAAGAATGGCGTCAACGTTCACTACATGCTGGTGTTGCTCGTCATTCACATCATCCTTACCATCATCCAATTGGTTCAAATCGTCATTATAATTCTTCATCAAGACCACAATCAAGACAATTAGCGATTGAACATAATTCTTCTGCTGGATTATCTAGTCGACAACATAAAAAATCTTCAAAAAATTCTAATAATTCATCTCATCGACCTCAATATCATCATTCAGATACAATTGATTTAACTGAAGATACACCAGTTGAAGATGATATACAAGAAATTCAACAATTACCATTATCACAATCATTATCTGTCAAACGTAAACCTTCATCGTCTTCATCAAATGACATGAATAATCAACGCAAACATCGACAAAATCATTTTTGAAATAAACAAATTATCTTTGTTAATATATTCCCATGTGTAAAGTTGGTCTCGTCTTTTTCTATGAAACAAAATACATTTATTCACAACATCCTGTTTTCTTTGTTTTGTTGTCAAAATTATTCTCATGAATTTTCTTTTATATAGATAGATCTTTTGTTATTCTTCATTCAAGTAATGATGAGAGACAAATAATGATCATGTAAACAAGCAGCAATGAAAAAAGTGAATG